GAAGGTTATATTCATTGTTTTTTTTTTACTACTAAATATTAATCGTTGATTTCCGTTAATCTAATGTTTATATTTTATTAAAAATTAATAATTAATTAATAAGTATGATCCAATAAATTATAATCGCTAAATTAATAAAAATTAACAATTAAAATTTAATAGTAAAAGATAAAAAATAGTAAATATGACGTCTCCCGTAATATTTTATTTTACACAAATTTGATCAATCAAATGTATAGTTTATTTATAGCTATCCCGTGATTTTACATCTTAAAAAAGGGGGAATATATAATTTTAATTTGTTTGTCCCAATGTGGAAGACATGTAAAGCAGAAAAATAATCTCAGGCGGCTATAAGATTACTTGACCAACCAAATTCACGTGACAATCAGATGCGTAGCTATATTAATATTTTAAAAAATAGATTAAATGGCCTGAGTGAATTGACCGGACCATAAATTAATTATGTTATCGTTCAAATACTATCTAATTAAATTATAGAATTAGCAAATTAAATTAATTAAATTATAATTCAGAAGTCTCTCTGATATATTTGATTCATTTTTTAAAATACTGAGTTGCACATGTACGTTTTAGGATTAGAAAAAACAAAGCAACACCTAAGAACGAGAAGACGAATTATAAAATAAATGGAACGAGTGATCGTTACATAATTGAGAACGTTTTAGGATTAGAAAAAACAAATGATTCCATTTATAACAACTAATCAAGATTAGTCAACAGATCAAAAGTATGTTAGCTAAGATGGAGAATTTACAATGCAACAGAACAGAGTGATAGACAGAGTTGTGGCGGTGCTTATACTAGAGAGTACATGCTTGATTAAGATATTATTGTTTAGGTCAGGGCGTCTCATTGAGTTAAAAGGGAAGCATTGACCTCCTCAAACTATTTTAAAGTTAGAGATATATTTTTCTTATGTTGTAGGAAAAAAATTATCTCATGTTGTAGAAATAAAATTATAAGTGAAACCCACAGATAAGAAGAGAGAAAAAGAGAGTGGTGAGACCCAATCTCTTTTTTTGTGTGTAGGAGAGTTGTTTATTTCATATAAAATGAGATAAACATAACCGTTTAAAGTCGAGGGAAAAGCGTGTTTTATTTTTTATTTTTTTCAACTTTGGGATATTGTAAAGCGGTATTATAAATTTTTAAATTATATTAATTAATCATTTTATTTTAACTATCATTCTAATAAAATTTGCTATTAAACTTTTGTTAAGTCTTGACGAAAATGTTATCTGACAAATTCTGAGCCGTTATATTTTGTGTAATATGAACAAAATAAATTTAAATTTTATCTAGTTTTATAGTTTTCAAAATAAAAAAGTTTATGAAGAAAACCCGATCAAAGCTTCATTGAATGAACCCAATCCCCTATAGAATGAATTTGACAAACAAATGCGGAGCAGTGGGGCGGCTCTGTGAATCTTATTAATAAAAATTGAACTCAATGTTGTCCTTTTCGTTCATGATGGAGTTTGGTTTTCATATTCATATCATGGATTTTGGATGTACTTTATACATAATAATATTTCTTTAATTTTACAATTATTATTGGATTAAAAAAGTTTGTCAAAAAAAAAATTAAAAATTGATTCAAAATATTAAATTAATAAAGGACTAAGATTATACATGATAAAAAAAGAGTTTGTCATGACATTTTCAATAAAAACTTAACCAAAGCTGAATAACAATTTTTTTAACACAATAATTAAAGTTTAAGAATTAATCCAAATAATTTTAAAATACGTGGTGACATTTTATGAATTTTCTAAAATCTATGAAGATTGAATATACTTTGTCTTAAAGTTTAATATTTTATGGATTTATCTACTCTCATGTTGTAGAAGAGAACATATCTTATGCTAAGACACAAAATGATGAGACTTACCACTAAAAAGGAGAAAAGAAAAGAAAATAGCAGCACACTTATCGAAGTGTCTATGACATAAGATAGTAGTTTTCTACCACATGAGACTACTATTTCTCATATTTTATATGTATATATATTTTTTTAAATGCCTCTTTACCTAATTATTTTCGTCCAAATATAGCTCCACTGTTGATTGAGTCGCTGCAGCAAAATGCAAACTACAGAAAAAAAAGTGCAAACTACGTTGCTTTGAATTGACTAAAGAATATTATGAAAAAGGAACACAAAAGTCACGCGAGAAAGAAATTGTCTGTTTTTTTTTCTTCCTGTTAAGTAAGAAATTTTCTTTTTTGGCTGCGTAGTTTGCGTCAGTATTTTTAAGTCAAGGTTGAACACTTGAACTTCTTGTTTCTTCGGATCTACAGTGATTAAAAAAACAATAAATTAAATGTACCAACAATATCTTCTTCTTCTTCTTTTTTGGTACAAAGACAAGAGGAAGAATATTTTTAGTATCAAATTTTTTTATTATTAACTTATTACCTATCTAATCATCATTGAATCTGTTATGTACTTGACAAATAGCTGTATTCTAGAAGGTCCAATTAAGGACAACACAAATAGGAAAGGAATCTTTTATTAATAATGATCCTATCCACACATTCTAGAAGCCCAAATAGGGCTAACAGGTAAGAGGAAATTAAGAAAAAATTTCTTAATTATGCTAATCCTACTACGGCAGCAATGGATCAACAATTGGACCCTCAATACTCTTAAGAGGCTCAAAAGTTCACTCCTGCCAGGTAACTCATCTATAAATGAGGGGTTAAACCAATAAGGTACACACACTCTAAATCGTCTCTCTTAGCTTATCATTGTGCACACACACCCACGCCTTGACTATGTCGTTATATTATAGTGCACAGTGATCTGTTTATCTTTAGGGTACCTCTCCTATAGGTACCTGAGAGAGGACAAACAGATCTTATATTAACATACCAAACTCTAATTAGATAAGCTAAAACAAATTTGAAAAAAGAGAAAATGTTGATCCAATGATGATTAGATAAGTAGTGAGTTGGTAGTAGAAGATTTGGATAGTAAGAATATTCCTCCTCCAAAAACAATATATTTTAGAGAAGAAATATTCTTACTATTAAAATTTTTCACTACCAACTTACTACCTATCTAATTATCATTGAATCAAAGAAAGAGAATGCTAACAAGTTTCTAAAAAGATAGAAAATGTTGATCCAATAATAATTAGATAAGTAGTAAGTTGATAGTAAAAAAATTTGATAATAAGAATATTCCCCTCAATCTTTTTAACTGTGCATCGATTTCAAAATAGGGGTTTGCATTTATCATTTAACATGACACAACAAACTTTCTTACACAAACAACATGACACAAACTCATCTATAAATAAGGGGTTAAACCAATAAGGCACACACACTCTAAATCCTCTCTCTTAGCTTATCATTGTGCACACACACCCACGCCTTGACTATGTCGTTATATTATAGTGCACAGTGATCTGTTTATCTTTAGGGTACCTCTCCTATAGGTACCTGAGAGAGGACAAACAGATCCTATATTAACATACCAAACTCTAATTAGATAAGCCAAAACAAATTTGAAAAAAGAGAAAATGTTGATCAAATGATGATTAGATAAGTAGTGAGTTGGTAGTAGAAGATTTGGATAGTAAGAATATTCCTCCTCCAAAAACAATATATTTTAGAGAAGAAATATTCTTACTATTAAATTTTTTCACTACCAACTTACTACCTATCTAATTATCATTGAATCAAAGAAAGAGCATGCTAACAAGTTTCTAAAAAGATAGAAAATGTCGATCCAATAATAATTAGATAAGTAGTAAGTTGATAGTAAAAAATTTTGATAATAAGAATATTCCCCTCAATCTTTTAACTGTGCATCGATTTCAAAATAGGAGTTTGCATTTGTCATTTAACATGACACAACAAACTTTTTTACACAAACAACATTTTGTGGGGCCCACACTTTTTGAAGGAAAAAAAAAAAATTACGGCACGCAAAACGAATCTCTATAACATTACACAATCACTTTTCCTACAACATAACTCTTATAAAACCCTTCAAAATATTATTACAGTTACCAATTGTTATTAAGACACGGTAAAACATACCTGTTGGAAGGCGGGGGACCAAAAAGTTAGGTATATAAGAGAATAAAATCCTAAAATTCGTTATTTACGTTTGAATTAGGTTGTAAATAACTTAAAATTCGTTACTTTAGGTTCTCAACCTAAAGCAAATGAGTTATGTTAAGTCATCAGGCAGGTTGGTTTAGGTCTAGACGTTTGCAAGTCGCAACTGAACTTAATTTAATTTGTTTGCTGGTTTTTAATATTTTAACTCAAACCAAAATATTTATAGAATACATTTTAGGATAATGTTATATTTATAATCTTTTTGTTTACAAACTCTCACAAATTACACTATGTCTTACCAGTAAAACACTATTGAGTAGAGTCTTACCGATCAAAGATAGTGTAATTTGTAAATTTATAAAAAAAAAATTTGTCAATATAATCCTACTCTACATTTTATATTTAACTATAATTAGTTGCTTGTGTTTAACTCGGGTTAAATACTTCTAACCATAATTACTTCTTGTGAATAGTTAGTTGATTGTAACAAGGATTTTATTAATCTCATGTTAAAGGAGATAGTTATCTCATATCATAAAGACAAACTAGTGAGCTCTACCACCTGAAAAAAAAAATAAAAGAAAAAAAAATGACACAATTATCGAAAGGTGTGTAAGAAAAAAAACTTATCTCATGTGACATGAGAATATTTTTTCCCAAGTAACAAATACTCATTTGATATACCTTTTGTTTAGTGTGTAAAAATACAATATAGTTTATCCTCTCTCTCTCACACTTTACTCTCTCTGTCATGAAACTTCCCTATTAGGTAAGAAAAATCCTCAACCCAACGAATCTGATTGTTGTTATCTTCTTTATAGTTTCATACCAAGGGGTGTTGTTTTGGGTTATATTTTCAACACAATAGTAGCAGAATCTTGGACTGGACAACAGTTTAACACCGAGCAGGGATGAAAATCTATCTTTGAATGCTACAAGCAAATTAAACAAGGAGCCCCCTCTGAAAAGTAACATTACAAGTATCCAAAAAAGAAAAGAAAAAGTAACATAACACTTAACTAACTGCATTTCACATTAGTCACATAAAAAGGGAAAAGGGGGGGCATAAAACATAATGTCTGAGACTCAAAACTAGTCCTCAACTCCTCATAGTCAAAGGCTTGAAGCATCACCATATCTCCAGATATTATCACTCATCACCCCATGTTGATGGTCCTCCCATTCCAATTTCTTCTACTGAAGATCTTAGAGCCTCTATGTTCTGCATTTTAGAATTCTTACTCTTGACCAATGAGGTTACATTGCTACCCACCAATTTCACATCCTTAGCCACTTTGTCCCGTACTTTCTTTTCACCACCATGGTTCATTTTTTCTGCATCCTTGCCTTCAAAAAACTCTGCAAATGAAGCTTCTGCATCATCGATAACATGAAGTTCACTTTGTTCCTCATTCTTTTGTTTCTTCTCAATCCTAGTAACATTCTCCTCAAGAGCCAACCCCTTGTCCAAGGGCTTGTTATCCTTTCTTTGCTTTTTCTTAGTTGATTTATTCTCCATGTTAGGATCAACAGTAACTGTTAGACTGTCTTCCTTTCTATCTTCCCTACCCTTGTTATGACCTGTATTTTCCTCATCAAGGACCCCAACTTCCTTCTTGGATACATCAACAGTTTTCTTCCTTTTCTTACTTGATTTTCTCCCCAAGTCAAGATCATCAACAGCTTCAAGATGATCATCCTCATTTTCACCTTTTGGATGAAATCTTCCACTCTTCTTTTCCTTGGTGTTATCTCTCAAATTTTGACCCGCATGATCTACTGAAAAATCATGAACGCCATCAACCATGTCGCCTTTCTCATTCTTGGTATCGCTATCTACTGGTCTAGCATTGAATATCTGTAGTTTCGGCAGTGCTTTCTTAATCTGTAACATTGCACCCACGCTAGTTTAAGAATGAAATATGAGAATCAAGTGTGAATTAACTTATCAACCAAACAAACAGGGGGATCACCTTTCTTGTAATTTTATCAATTGCGGCAATGGGATTTCCTTGTAGGTTGAGATTTATCAGATTTGTGAGTGATTCGAGCACCTGCAGTCATAATACATGATGAAGATACAAGGTAAAGGGTGTTCTAGACAACTATGAAATATTGGAAAAAGTGGAAAATGCCAGATATGCATATCAAACCTTTAGTTCTGACCACCTTGTGATCACATTATTCCCCAAATCTAAATTCCGGAGCTTTGAATTATGCATTAATTCATCTGGGAGAGACTGAAATCCAAAAGTTAGTAAGATGTTGTAAACAATATAAAACTAAAAAATTCTTAAGCAATAAAGTCATGAAATAAGTATAATATGAACGCACTCTAAGGAACATTCAAAAGACAAACCCATTTGTTGGTATAGAATTTAATAGGGAAAATCACATATTTGAAGCACACCTTAATCTCATTGTGAGCAAGGCGGAGCTCTCTCAATTCAACACAAGACTTCAGTGAAGTGTCAATACCCTCAAGCTGACAATAAGAGAGGGAAAGCTGGACCAGGAGAAGTATTATGAGCAATGGGAATACAATACTGAAACAAACACTGAAGGTGTCAATATCTTGGGGAACCCTTTACCTTTGTTATACGTTTCACCTTCATCAGAGCCTCACCAATTTTACAGATAGGGTTTTTGGATAGAACTGCAGGAGAATTTACAGATATTCAGAAATTATTCAAGTTCAAACCATCAGTATAGTTTTTAGTTTGAAGTACCTGCCAGCCACACGCACACAAAAAGTAACCCCTCTCCCCCACCCCCAAGGCCCAAACAACCAAAATAGAAAAGAAAACAAATATGCATGATTATCTAATTTGAACTGCAGACATATATATATATATATATATAGAAGTACGTATGTATGTATAATTAACAATTCTCTTTTTCAACGTGAAATGTGTATTGCTAAACTTCCTTTCTTTGTTTTTTTTTTTCGGAATCAGGATCCATCAAGAAAGTTTGCAATCGATTATATATACCAATTCATATTGTTTCATCCTGACTTTGTCTGTAGGCTTTTAATGTTATCTTATTTCCATTTCATCTTTGCTTCAAGAAGCACATCCTTATTACGAGTGGATAATTACTGAGAGACTAAATGAAAATTCAAATTTATCCTTGTATGACGGAAGCACAACATCAAAGCCATATCAGTCACTAAAAATGGTAGACAGCAACCGAGTCTATCCCACTAGGTGGCGTCGGAAAATGTTAAAAAATAAAGAAAATGCAAAGCATAATCAGTCATACCAAGAGTGTTCAAGTCTTTCATCTGATCAAGTTTACAAATGGAGACAATTTCATTCTCTGCCAAAACCAAAAAAAAAAGTAAGAGTAAAGAAAAAGAAAGATAGAAATATATGGAAAGATTCACTATTTTTTTAAATTTTTTTTTGCATTGTTCTGGGTTAACCTTCAAAATAGATGTGGTTAGCAGATGATCATGTAAGAAGTCTCACCATTCAAAATCAGTGCTCGGATGCTAACAAGTGACCTGACCGGATCCATAGATTTAAGCTTATTTTTGCCTGCATTTAGCACCTGGTTTGCATATATACGTATAAATGTGATTCCTAAATCGTCATGTAACTCATTGACTTTTATCAGAAGAATTAAGCATAGGAAGGTCAGGGGGTCTTGTGCAGCGGGGTTTGCCCTTAATCAATCATAGGCAGATTGTTTGACAAGAAATAAGTTCATTATTCTGGACATATGCATGCGTAAACAAACAAGCACATGAAGAAAGATAGAAAAATCCTCATTTCAGAAAAGAACTCAGCAGAATGCCACTCTTTCAAAAGCTTTAAAGATAGTAATCAAATTCTAAGAACAATATTACTCGATCAAACTTTCAGCACAACCTGTGAAATGAAAGATTTCTGGCAAATTTAATCTAAAAAGGTAGAGACTTGAGCCCTTGGAAATGCCACTATATGAGGATATTAATAACAAGTATATATACAAGATGCACGTGGTTCCAAACAAGTAATGCGTCTTGCAAAACGAAACAAGTAATGCCCTTGGAAATTCCAGCATAATAAGTGTCAAGAAGGGAGTCCCAATACTAGGGAGTTAGGCTACAATCATATCAATCTCAAGATAAGAAGAATCTCAACGACCTTAATCATAAAGCATTGTTTTCCGAATGCAATTTGAGTAACCCAGTCCTAGAGAGAGTCAAGGTATCTGAAACACAGGATTCTAGAAAGAAAAACAAATGTTCTGACAATAAATATTTTAGTTGATGAAAGGAAAAGTTCACACAATTGACACACCGGTAAGAGCACAACAAAAGCTATTAACAACAAATACACCCTTCAAGTTACCAGTAAACTTAACATAATAAACTAAGTCCCACAAAAAACAAAAACAAAAACTTCTGATACATAGGAATAGCTGTTAAATTAAAAAGTAACAAAACAAAACCAGGAGCTTAGGTGATAATGACAAAGCAGCTACTTACTGTGAGCTTAGTAAGTCCTTGAATTCCTTCTAAGCTTTCTAATTTGTTTTCTACAACAGATAGCCACTTCAAATTAACACATGATCTCAACCCCTGGTGTAGCATGTAAAAACAAACAAATCAGAAATGCCCAAACCTTTTTTTAATCTTAAAAAAATAAAAAATAAAAATAAAAAGAGAGAGCTAAGAAACAAAGTACCTCAAGTGAAGTGAGATTGTTGAGCTTGAGGTCAAGCTTTTCCAAGGCTTTGAAGTTGGCCAAGCATGATACCTGGGTAATTTCCAAAGTTAAAAAAGTTAATATTTTTGGTGGTTGTCACTTGTAAAGGGTACATAAATCAAAAGGGGATGAAACATCACATCAGAAAGAGCTTTGTGAGTGAGCTGAAGACTGATAACGGAGCTTGGATCGCCGCCAGCATTGTTGTCCTTCAATACCTGCTCGGAGCTCAGGCGAGCCATTGGCTCCTCTGTCCCCTTAACCTCACTGATCCAATTCGCAAAAGCCTTAGAAAACCCTAAACTTGTAGCATATCATCAGAAAAACCCTACCTTTCTTTACTCTTTTTTACATTTGATTTTTAATAACAACTGAATTTAATCTTGTAAATTTTACTAAAAATCTTAATAAATATAATAAAAATATTTTTATTGAAAAATTTAATTATTTTCAGAATATTATATCTTATTGTTTATTAGTAAGCAAAATTTTCTCGACATGGGAAAGTATTTTTCAATAGTATTATTTATAAGGGTAGGATATCATAACAACTGATTAGTGTAGTAATATTACTATCAATTGATTTCACTATTAGATCGATTATGTTGGTTCAACAGTTATATTTATTTTCATCTTTGTATGATTTCTCATATTTAATGCTTTCACATTAAATATGGGGTGAAAATAAATATAAAGTATTAAATATGAGAATCATCACCATACAAGGATATAAATAAATATAACCATTGGATTAACATAATCGATCTAACAATAAAATTGATTGGTAGTAACACTAATTAGTTGTTACAATATCCTTCCCCTTATTTATATACTTGACTTTTGAAAAAAATTAATTCCAATAAAAAGATAATAATCTTTTTAATGATTTATATTATATTCTAATATGCTTATTAAGAGAAGATGGACAATATATAAATCCACCTACCAATACTAAAAAATTTCACAAAATTAAATTAATTAATGAACCAGGGCCTTTTAATAATTTATAATATACTCTAAGAACTTTATATACCTTACTTTATACTTAGCACTTTTTGAAATGAAAAAAAAAATGACAAGAATTTATGGCGGCTTTTTGACCCTTTTATTCTTCATTAATTAATTAAAAATTATTTTATCTTTTATTCAAAATTATCCATCAATCTGTCCCTCTTTAATCGATTAATTTGAATATTTAATCGATTAAATGGTCAAAACAGGAAAAAATGGTTGACTCGAGATTTAATCGATTAAATCACCCTCTGTAATCGATTAAGAGGGATATTTAATCGATTAAAACTTATATTTAATCGATTAAATATATCAAATAAGCGTGAAAACATTGATTGAATGAGACAAACAAGGAAAACTCGTTGATTCACTGCGTAGCGAGAACCAATCTTGATTCATTAACGCATTTGAGTTGTTCTCTTAATCCAAATTTTCACATAATGCTTGCCAAGTGACCTTTGGCTCCCAACTCAGACCTGTACTTAGTTTAAGAACATCTCGAACTATGATTGGTTCACCTTTAATCCAACGTTGTTGAAAGAGAAATAACCTTTCTTCTGACAAGTCACTTGACACTGGACAATATATGTTATTATAATTCGTATCATCTCTAAAAGTAGCTCTTATCATAAATTTTCTGCTTAATATTGCTTCTCTCTGAAGAGTCTTGTGCTCAAATTTGCAATAAGTATATATCTCAATAGTACCCTCTGAAGTCCCTAAATCACAATATACTAGTTGAGGATGACCACCATGCATGTACTCACTGCTCTTATTAACATATTCAAACTTCAATTCAAGTCGTGATGAAATACTTTCATTTCGTATTTCTTCACAGCAAGTAAGACAGATTTCAAACGAACAGTTAGGTCAGCCAAAACTTAATCATTATAGTAAACTAAACCTTAATCATCCCCTTTGAATGTAGCGAGTTTTTCTTGTTTGTCTCATTCAATCAATGTTTCACGTTCATTTGGGATATTTAATCGATTAAATATAAGTTTTAATCGATTAAATATTCAAGTTAATCAATTAAAGAGGGAGATTTAATCAATTAAATCTCGAGTCAACCATTTTTGTCTATTTTGACTATTTAATCGATTAAATATTCAAATTTCAATTAAAGAGATGCAGGTTGGTAGATAGTTTTGGATAAAGGGTAAAATGATTATTAATTAATTAATGAGAGACAAAAGATCAAAAAGCCATTAGTGTTGGTTTTCACTTTTTAACAACGGTGTTACTAATAACATGAGCATTTTTTTTTTTAAATAAAAAACTTTTTTATTTTTTCCATTTTTATTTTTTAGTACAGTTTAACTTTGTTATTTATATATTAATAATTTGACATTACTTGTGATTTTTTTTCAGAAAATTATATAAATAATATTATTAATTTCTTAAAAGCTATGACAATTATAAAGCACCGGTGTGTATACTAAATTTTCTAATTTAAACTAAATTTTAATTAAGTATAAATTTAAAAATACATTTAAATTAAAATGAATATATACTTGATTAGATTAAAAAATCAAATTGAAATTTTAAAATAAAGTCAGAAAAGTAGGCATTAAACTATTTTTTAATCAAAATATTATGATTTAATAAAGGGGAAAATATTTATGTTTTTATTTCAGAAATTTTTTCTCTTTCATACTTATATGAAAATGAAGAAAAACTTTAAAAAAAAAACTTATAAATTTTTTCTAAAATCACTTACCCTCTTCCTAATATTTATGTAGTAACTATAACTTCTTCCTTTATATTATACTTAAAGTTTTATTTATCACTTATATTTCTAACTTAAAGTTTCTTTACCACTTATCCCTCTAATTTAGGAGTGTAAATGGTAAAAAAAAACTTAAGTTATAGAGTTTTTACGAAAAATAATTGTTAGAGTTTTCCCTAAAAATAAAGGGTAAAGGATTTTTCTTATTAATGAAGATAAATTATTTTCGGTGAGTCCAAAATAATTTTATTTTAAGACAAAAATTAAGGTATTTTTATAATTCTAATATATTATAGGTTAATATGTCTTTATCATTATAATTTTTTAATCTTATAATCCTAAAACGACATTATTTTAAACTTGTCGGAGATAATTTTATTTTCAGTGATTTGAAAAATACTTTTCCCAAAAGTAAATATAGGTGTTATTGATTATATGAATGTGGGAGAGAAAAAAAAATTCCAATAAAAACAAAATGTTAAACTCAAGTGAATTAAAAACAAAATCATTTTTTCAAATTCTTTTAAAATATGGAATGAAAAATTCTTATTAAAAGAATTTGTCCAGATAATGTTGCTTTGCTAAGCGACGAGTGATTTGAAGCAGAGTCACTCGCTCCGCACCAATACGCTAAAGTGGTCGCCACCAAGATATTTTGGCTTCCATTGCTCAAAGAAGCAAATGACAGATATATTCTTTACTTTGCTTGAGCCTTGAGTTGTATAATTGTATTGAACAAACAATTCTTCAAACTTGAACAGTTTCATATCATGATGGATACCCTTTCAAGGATTAGATTCCTCCCTGCTTGTTACAACCTTCATCTCCCTAAAATTTATACCTTGTCTCGTTTTCCACGTGCTTTTTTTTCTACCAAAACAAGTACCCCATTTGTTTCAGTCTTAAGAGCTGGTCCTTCTTCACCTTCAGGTTAGCACCTCTCTTCATTATATTCTCCCTTTGTTTGGTTTCAATGAGAGAGAGAGAGTAAGTTCATGAAGGACAGGACCTTAAATATTGAAGGTGTTGTTCATTAGATTCTGAGATAGCTTTTTTGTCTTTTTCAGAAAGTTTAATTTTAATAATTATATTTACCCCTTATGTCTTAGCTTATATACATTTATTGAAGTATATGTTCTTTCACCATTGTTTCTATCCTTTTGGCCCCAATGTAAGTTATATTTAGTTGGATTAGCATTCATCTTTTGTCTGTCATTTTCAATCCTTATTTCCAATGAAAGCTAATTGGTTGAAACTCTTAATTTCTAGTGAGTGATGCAGAAGAGGATGTGTTGCAAATATTTTTTAAGGAAAGGGAACTAAATGGGGATTTTATATCAAGAGCTTCTGATATATTGTGGCAGAGGAAGTTAAGAAATGCTGTTGATTCTGATATTAACAAGAACACCGACAACACTTCTCAGCAATCAGATCAGGAGCAGGTACAGCTGACTCCTTGTACTCAATTTCTGTCCAGATTGACTTCCTTTCAGTGCTTCCTGTTGGGCTTTTCCTCTTTCAATGCTGCACAAGGACCAATGTTGTTTTTGTGGGGCTCAAGAAACCCTAATCCCCACTTTCATATTCTAGAATCTTACCTCCTCTCCTATATAAGCTTGTGTTATATGAGAGGTTAGGATTAGATATTTTTTAGACAATTTTGAGAGCATCTCTAGGGAGAAGTTTGAGTATTAGACCTTCTTAGGGAAGTTTAAGAGAATACCTCCATTGTAGGTGAGGTTTGAGAGAATACCACCATTATTGATGAAGTTTGATATCTTGTACCCATTATTTTCACAGTAGAAGTCTGATTCTGGACTAATGTCCCGTAGGTCTTTACTTCTTTACATTGGAGAAGGTTTTCCCATATAAAACAATTTGACTGTGTTCATCTCTATCTCTCTCCTCTGCATTCTTCTGTTTCTGCTGTGTACAGACTGACCTGGTGACTGAGGCCAACCTCTGATTGTGAGTGCCAAGCTCCAAGCTTGACGTTTGACATTTGACACACTTCGGTGCCGAGTTGAACGAACCGAGTTCCCAACACTTCATTTTAAACCATTATGATATGATTTTTGTAAATTCTGTAAAGTGTGCCAGTTTTGACAATTCTTTTCCTTGTAGTGATCCAATACAAATTCTGAAGTATATGATTTCATTGATTAGGCAATTCATTGACATATGGGGTGCTTCTAATATTTGTAGTTCATAGAGAGTAATAGTGATGATGGTTTTTTGAAACTTTCAAGAACCCATGAGTGGGTATTAGGTGACATATCTGCTCCAATAAACAAGAAAGTGACTGCTAAGGTATGCTTTTAGTTTTTTTATATGATGTGAGGAACTTTCATTTTTCTTCTTTACGCCACCATCCCTAGACACAAAAGTGGGATATTGGATATGAAGTTAATATATTTCAAATTTTAATACATATTTTTTTTTTTTTGATGTATTTTAAATCCAGCTTCTTTCATGGGTAAATAATATTTGATGCTTGCTTTCAAATATTAACAGATGTTACAGGACAGCAGTGCAAGAAGGAAGAAATTAAACATTCTCAAATATGAATCTGTATGACACTTATCTTGAAACTCAGTAGGTTCTTTTATTAGCTTCAACCAAGGACATCAGTGCTTTCTTACCTCAAGGCATGTAGGCTTTGATTAATTATTGTTGATCAAAGGTTGTGTAAGCTGCTGATTCTTTATTATTATCATTTTGTAATTGTAGCTCAAGAGGGAAATATTGCTTCTATCTGTGGGTATTGGACTGGCTTGTAGTGGATATTGCTTGATAACTTTGTCAGTGCAGGTAAATTTTTCCTTCATTAAATGCTTTGTTTGAAAAACAATGTCTCACCAACTTGCTATTATATTTGATAATAAGGCCAAACGACTGCTTCTAATCACTCAATCATCTTTTATTTTGTCATGATAAGATTAACTTTAGATGGATGCAAAGGTCTTACAGCAATGATTTAATCTTAACCACTACCACGAATAAGTTCCAAATGAGTTCCTTCATCTCAAAACAACAGTTTGGAGCATATTGTTTTCTTTGCCTATCAAAAATAGTTTTGGGGCATGTTGTGTTTAAGTGCCTGTCTTTTTATTGTGCAGGCGGCTATAAGTTATGCGATTGGAGTCCTTTTCAGGTTTGTCTTGCAATTTATTAGGTTGAAAGTTGAAACTGTCTTGTTAATGTTTGATGAGCTTAAGTGGTCAGTGATGAGCTTCTTAGTTATTCACTTTATTTGAGTTAGGTTCATGAAAGTAAAACTTTTCAAATATCACTATGGTATTTTAAAATTTTCTGCTCAGAAGCTGGTTTTTTTAATGTTACTATGGTAATTAAGATATCATTTTCCAATGCAGTTGCTTGTACCTTCGCCTCTTGTATCAACATGCAGACAACCTATCCAGTGAAACTGTTCCTCGAATATTCACAAAAAAGAAGTCAAAGAAGTACAACTGAAAACTTGTGCTTTGCATGCCAGTTAGCATTTTCTGTTGTTGATATTCTTTCATCCCTTGTTTTGATTAAACAACTTTCTTTACCAGAATTGGTATAAGAAGTGAGGACCTTCAAGATTTATTGGAGGTGTCGATCAAGGGTTGCAGTATGTCACTTTCATCTCCAAGGCTTGTGATTCCAGCAACAATTTTTGGACTTTGGGTTCTGTCTCATCAATATTTAACCAGTAACTTCTTTGATTTTCAGGTAACACATAGAAGCAAGTGTACTATAAAACTTTTTCTTAAGCACAAAGCATTATTATACAACTCTAGTGAAACAAATTGGTCATTTATATTACTGTGTCTTGTTAACTCCAGCTTGTGCCGGCCATGTTTGGGATGTTTGTATACAAGGCTGCAGTTCTAGTGCAAGTGTATAGAGACAATGAAGACTTGCAGCTTGTGTTTCCAGAAAACGGGGATGGCTAAAATGATTGAAGTATTTATTTGGCTGTGCTCAATACAGGACACCACTCCCTACATCCTCGAATATTTGAAATGAAGTGCTACATCCAGAATTGTCCACACAGATTAAAACCCTTCAATGCTTGTGTCTTCATGGTGAACCCATTAGAGAGATGATAAATGAGTATATTAATGTGTTGAACAATTCAAAGAAAAAAAAAAAAGGAATTAAATTGATGAGTGAGGCTTTTCTCCTTTTATGTTTATTAAACTAGAGGTGTTTTTGTACTTAAAAGAAAAAATAAATAAATAAATTCTCCGGGGTTCTTGAATATTTTTCCTAGTTGTATAACTTATAATGGACGTCAGTTTGGTCACAGAGATACTTCACTCCTTTTTTGACACTGAAATTTGAACTTGTAACATCCCTCAACCCACTCTTAGCCCACTCTTAATGGCTTTTACTTCACTCTCTAATTGCCCGTGATAATGCTGGTTTTTCTGAGGGCAATGCAGATTCGTCATACAACAATTGTGCAGGTTTTTCCGATGGTACTGTAATATTGTTCAAGGTCTCGTAGTAAGAAGAGTGCTGGTAAGAGATAATAGATGTTTCATTGGTAAAGAGCTTGCCTAGCCGACACATTGCAGTGTGACTGTAAGTACACCATTAAGTACTAGACTTCTGTAATGTAACTTGTGTAAAAGCTATACTCGAGTAAAAAATTTGTTTTGATTCATGTAATTCAGTTTGAATAATAACTTGCCAGTTTCTGGTTTAGTTAAAGGGTTTAAACTTTAAACGATCTCCTGTTGGAGCAAAATTTCTCTTCTCATGTAGTAGAAACAAGATCCTGTGATCCACTGTTTTTTTTTTTTTTGAAAAATAAAATAAAAATAATAATTTTGACACGATTTACAAACTCTTTGCTACAAGGAATCCTCTTCTTCAACCATGCTATACGAGATAATTATATTTCATGCAACATACAAAGAAAGTAAATAGAATCTACTAAAGTGAAAAAAAAAACACACCCATTTCTTGTGTGTACACGACAAAATTTATCTCGTATAATATTAAAAGTCATATTTCCCTTGGTTTAATTAGGAGCATTGTATTGTTCTGTGCATTGCATTATAAAACATATGGTGAATTAGTCAAGTGTGACTTTTAAGAATACTCAAGTATTTTAATATAAACAAGTACCACCTTATTTACAATGAGTTCATTTTTTTTACAATTAATATAAATAACTTATCTACATTAAATCCAAAACAACATCATTTTGAAGTAAAAATCAAAATATTATTATAATTATAATTTTTTTTATTATAATTTTTTAATTCAAAAATTATTTTTTAATTTACTGTAGAAATATTAAAGTCAATTACAATTACAATTACAAACTTTATAGCAAATTTTACAAAATGAGTAATAAAAATTTTAAAATCATAAAAATTTCCAATTTTTATTATTCCATCTATAATTTCAAAAAGATAAAATAATACTACTTTCCTCGTATGGACTACGGGAAAAGCACCATTTTGAAGTTTTTGGACAAAAGAATTGCCCGGTTAAAGCTGATTGGATAAGTTTTTCCAAAGTAATGCAGTCAAACATGTCACCTATGCTGACGGGACTAGTCCCGTCACTGATACTGACGGGACTCGTGCCACGTCAGCGCCACGTAGGCAATCCAATTACCGTAAATCTTCGGAAGACCATAACTTGTGACTCGGGTATTCAAATCAGATGATTTTTTTTTTATTTCACATAATTTTTCGAGATCTACGCAATGATACCTCGTTTGACATATTTTATCTCCCACAAACATAGTTTGAATTTGTAACAATTGTATCACAATCACAAGAGTGTTTATCCATAAGACTATGTTTGTGGGAGATAAAATATATCAAATGAGGTGTCATTGCGTAGATCTTGAAAAGTTATGTGAAATCAAAAAAAAAATCATCTGATTTGGATACCCGAATCACAAGTTATGGTCTTCCGAAAATTTACGGTAATTGGACTGCTTACGTGGCGCTGACGTGGCACGAGTCCCGTCAGTATCAGTGACGGGACTAGTCCCGTCAGCATAGGTGACATGTTTGACTGCATTACTTTGGAAAAACTTATGCAATCAGCTTTAACCGGGCAATTCTTCTGTCCAAAAACTTTAAAATGGTGCTTTAGCCTATGGACTACCAATGCAGAATTTTTAAGCGACAGTTGAGTACTACTTTTTGAATGATAGACGTACAAAGTGCAATATCAGTGCCTCAGTCAGAAGAACGATTCTCAGGTGCTGCATAATTCTTCAAAAGAATCAGGCTGATTATATACTTGCATTATGCAGCACAGTTCATTTTCATTAAAACACTGACCAATGGTGCTATACACAACAGTCATCTTAACGCATAACAACTTAATAAAATACACAATAAACAAGGCTCAATAAAAACCTTACCATCCCCCATAATTTGGAGATTTGTTCCAGTCAAATACTATAATTTGTGAAATCAGTTCCGTGTTGCTCTAACCATTCATCCGGAGTTCTCACCATTTCCTGCCATGTCATGTCACTACTGAAGTTGATATGGCCGTTTTGTCTTTTGTTTAAATAACAGTGACATTCAGGAAACTACCGAGATCAAAATGGTCATCACAACGCACAACCAATTCTGCAAATGGAAAATGACTGAAACATTTCAAAGTTTAGGACATGATAAAAGCCTGGCCTAAAAATTATAGTAAATGTATCAGCCCAAAAAACAATTCTTCCAGCGAATTGATAATTAAACACCTTCTGAAAGTCACGATTGATGAGCATTCAGCAGCGCTCTATAGACCATATCAATGAATTGATTATCCTACCAACACAAAAAAAAATTTCTTTTAGAAAATTAGAGGACAAACAAGAATAATAATAATAATAATATGTTTCCGAAAAAAAGAAAAGAATAATAATAATACAATCATACTAATATATGCTTCTTAGTAGGGAATAGAATACAAGAAGATCGTACAAAATTATCTTCTCCCTAACAGTCATTTAAGATCATTGTACTCAAGATATCATACAAAAGTACCAAGCAAGTACACTAACCTGAACAAGCACCAGAAGAGCATCTCGGACCTTTTCTCTAGAAATAACTGGACCATAGTTCGGAAGAGGAGCAGCAGGAGTAAGTGAAGGTGGTGGAGTGGGAGGTGGAAATGGCTGTAGCAGTGGAGCACCATATGGGCGTTGTACACTAACAGCAGGATGAAGGGGAGGTGCAGTAGGTGTGGATGAAGACACAGGGGGTATCATCATCGCTGAAGAAGAAGGGGGAGGGACGAAAAACGAAGAAGGCTTCACAAGATTTGTAGCTCGGTTGCTGCTGCTGCTGATGGATTCAGGAGCATCAAGCTGGGGTAATAGAGGAGTGGATGCTGAAAGAGAGGGTTTCTGCAAGGTTGGCACAGTGGGTGAAGCAACAGTAGTTGGCACAGAAGATGAAGAAATTGTAGCAGAAGACTGATAAGGTTGTCCAGTAATTGGAGCATTTGGAGTATTCCCAATGGCCATCGCTGCCTGCAATAATTAAGTATCGGAAAAAAATCAATCTGATCAGAACTGAGTTACAAATGTTTAACTTATCATGAAAAACTATGTTCACAATATCAATGTACTGAATATTGATCATAAATGGTCAAAAGTGGAGCACCGTATGGTCATCAGTGGGTCCTATAGTTTGTGAAAAAATGGACAACAAATGATGTTTAGATTCAAAAGTTAGATCCAAAAATGAGATTCACTAATAATGTCAGAAATACTAAAGTGGCAGATGTAGTGAAAGAACATTTCAATATTAGATGAAATAAATCCCCATCTTATAGTTTTCAAGTAGTCAACTTATCCAGTATGCTTTTGTAAAGTAATTTCAGTTCTTTTATTGTTCAAAAGCAATCGCCAGGAAAGACCATTATGACATAGCTGAAAATGAGGAGGAACACCTAGGTACAAGGGAACCAAAGGACACAACCAAGCTAAGCATGCAAGCAATTATCCATCTTCACTATGCCAGTGTCATCACATCATATCATTTGTCAAGAAAGTTCAGATATAGATGACATTATTAGAAGTAAATAAAAATGGCCACTATGGTACTTACACTGAAGAAGTTTACAAAGGATGGGTCATCAGGAACATCAGTCACATTGGAAGCAGTTGATGATGATGGCTCAAGAGGACCATCCATAACTGCCATAGTTGGTACTGCTTCCAGTTCCTCAAACTCGCTACAATAAATGTAAGCAGAACTTCATCACTCAAATTCTAAGTATACAATGTGCAGAAATAAATGACTAATTTATGCTAGCTAAGCTGTCAACCACAGCATGATCATTTACTATTGACAAGAAATCTTTTGATAGAAAAAAAAAAATTTCTTAGAGAAAAAAGGATAGTATAATGACGAGGAGGGTAAAATATTATCCAAGACTAAAATAAAAAAACAGAAAAGAAGAAAAGTAAAAATGAAACAAGGCTGCTCAATATTTCTGTATATCAAAGATGGGAACTCCCTCGAAACAGGCATTGGTAGAACACCAAAGAGAAGGCGAAGAAACATAACCCTGTTCTGTAGTAACTAATACAATTTTATACAAAAGAAACAAGAATGGACAAATAATGGAACTTATCCCCTTCCACAAACAAAATATAACATAATTATATAATAACATGACCTAGGTGTACGTTGCATATCCACAAGTAAGTAGAATAATACTCATATTCCACATAAGATCCAAATTCCAAAATGCATCCCATCCCCCCCCAAAAAAAAAAAAAAACAACAACAAAAAAGATAGGTTCCAGACAGCTAAAAGTAATTATCTCAACTTAAAGTTGGACGGAATCGGGAGTCATCCATGATAGTATGCTGGAAAGATAGGCAGGAGCCCATGAAAGTAGAAGTACATGAGACAGACACAAAATGGAGCACGCAATAAAGATTGGGGAGAGAGAAAGAGGAACCCATCCGTCAAGATCACTCCAAACCCCCTTGCTTTCAGGTGGATGGATATGAATATGATGTAATAGTGTTAAATGGGATTGTATTAAAAAAATATACAATACATTGATTAAACCAGCCCCACCATTCACTGGGGAGCAAGCAGATGCTGGCACAAATTCACTTAACCAGGTAGAAGCATATTATTACCTCTTTGTAGAAGACACCTTTGACTTTGGAGGCACCTTGGCATAAGCATTAAGGATCCTGAAAATCAGTCAAATATAAATGAATAATATGGATACAATTAAAGAAAAAAAAAATTTGGGGGGGGGGGGGGGGGGGGGGGGGGGGGGGGTTGAAATTCAATTATGATTTTACCAATTCAAAATCAATCTAGATTGATGTTAACATCAGCAACTAAAGCCACCGCTGACAAACTTGTATTCCTTAATTATAATAATAATAACATGAACACCTTTCAATATTTTCCTTTTTCTTTGTTCACAACCCTTTCTATCCACAGACCACAGGTAACATCTGCAGTTTCTCAGACACATTACTAGGAAATAGTTATAATGGATGAAGTTGCTAGCTAAACCTTTGTTTTTTCCCATCCTTTGCATACGTCTAATATTTGATCATATTCTTGCAGTTTTTATAGGGAAAATCATCTACATATTAGAGTATCAATATTGCTGAAAGGAGATTTTTCCCATTTTCTAGTAAGTGACACCAGAATTTTATGTTCAGTAGGAAAATGTTAAAAGACTACACACACACACATATATATATATCAACATACAACTACAATCAATGATGATGTGCAAAATATTTGACATGAAAAGAAAATTATTAAATAGAACAAAGCTTTATTGCACACAGCTTATCTGTCATCTATGGGACACCATCAACTAATTTCAGGATTCCTTTAACTAATGCTCAAAAATTGAATTTGACTGCCATACAAAACAAACACCATATTTAGGTCAATAACCCTTAAGTTGAACCCGACATCCATTGGGAACTGGAAGAGGGAGAGATGACAAATTCAAAACCTAATAGTTACACCAGTGTTTGACTTTTAAAAGGATAAGGGTATATTACTCTTTACCTTCTGGAAGTGTTCCCCCAAATCAACTCTTATTTACTAACTTTAAGACCTAAACTTTACACCCATCAAGGTTCAAAACAATACACTACTACTAACATGTTTAGATTTGCTTAAACTAAAGGAAAAATGTGTATTTTCCTTTTACAAAAACTTGCTTAAAGATTTTGAGTATATGCTATTTTGAACAGAAAATAAGCTAATTCAAACATGCAATACACATGCAATACACCTTAGATTATTCAGAAGCACTGCATGTAATAAATTTTTTGCCAAATCTAAGAATTTACGGAAAAAAATAAAAAAAAATCCTATATGTAGCATTTCCATAATTCAACCCATAGGAAGAGCAATACCTGCTAAAAAGATTCGCAACCTCTTCACACTCACGCGCATTATAGAACCAGATACCATTCACTTCTTGAGCAGCATTTCTATACAGTAGATATGGAACCTGAACTTCATACTCGAAATCCCCCAAGAGATTCTCCACCAAATTTTCTGTTTATGCCAACAAGAACGAGGGTTAAATGCAAGTTACACGAATGGACATTAGGCATTTCTCCATACCAGGTCTAGTAAGAGCACACTATCTATTATGTCAACCTTAAAACAAGGTTTAAAAGGAAAATTCACAGTTTATGCATAAAACTAAAAATATTGAGTGCATGATGCTGAGTGTGGAGTGCCAACGGCCAACACCCAAGCCCCAATCCTATAATTTTAAGGATAAAAACACATAACTAAAACTATAATATCACCTCATAAGAGCAAAAACTAACATAATATATATATATATATATATATATATATATATATATATATATTCCAAGACAAGAATCAACAATATCAGAATACAGAATATCCATTAATCCTGACAACGGATTGAGCTTCTTCTTTTTTCTTTTTCAAGTGAATGGGAGGCCACTCTACTAATATACGCTGCATCCAATTCAAGCATGTCCAGCTATACGAGAGAGTTTCCGTCTCATTGCCTATAAGCTAGTTTACAAACAGAATCCAGTGAACTCAAGACTAACGAATATACTTGCAGGCAAAATGATAAGTTTTCAAAACCAAATCCAACAATCACAATCACATTATCAAATCTCATAGATTCATATTATCATTGAAGATCAGTGGTGCATTACGTCAAGTTGTCAACAAACTGCAGAATTTTTCCAAATAGAAAATTAAAAATAAAAAATAAAAAATTTGATAACAAAGAAAAGACAATGTTCTCACTAACCAGTATTGCGACGATTCATGACAATAAACTGAAACCGCGGTTGTGTGTTCCTGAAATTAAACAAAACCAAAACGAAAGCTATAGTTCACCTCAGTTGAAAATAAATTTCCAATCCTAACACTTGGATCGTTGAACCGATGAATCGCGTGATATGATAAATGCTAAAAAAGAGAGAGAAGAAAATGAACCTCTTAACAACGAATAGAGATCCTTCAACGTCCTTGCGGCTCTGCAAAGCAATCAAAGAGAAAAGAGAGAGAGAAAGTGTTGAGAAAGAAGGGGAGAAGAGAGAAAATGGAAAAAGAAAGGGAGAAGTAGCGAACCCATTGGCTGAGGTCGATGTTAAACTCGTAGAAGGTGACGTGTGCGGCGGTGATGAGAATTTCCTCAACGAAAGGGTCGATTCGTTGGAGAACAGTGAGGTTGAGAAGCTTCGTGCTGTGTTGGTCTAGATTCGGCATCAGCTTCCCGTTCTGAGACATTCTCTCTCTCTCTCTCTCTACAAAACGGACCCTGTGGCTGTAAATTTGGGGGTTAGGGTCTTCTCTTTCTCTCTCTCTTCTCAAACATCAAACGTAGAGAGAGCGCAACGCAACGCAACGCAATGCCGGTGAACCAGATTCAGTCGATCAGACTCAGCTTCTTCCCAAAGAAAAACCTCGACAAAATGACCAAAACAACCTTATAACTAATTTATAAGGGTAATTGTAGTCTTATGTCACAGCAAATTTTTTTTATCTCATGCACACTTAACTTGAAGTGAGGCCCACCACAAAAGAGAAGAAAAAAAAATAAAAAAGAAATGGCACAAGTATCGATGTATGGACATAAGATAAAAATAAAATCCTGTTGCATAAGATTAATATTGCCCAATTTATAAATGGGAAAAGTACACTAAACACAAATTTATGCTTTTTTTTTTTAAGAGAAGCAGATACAAAGAAGCATAGATTTCTATTAAAAAAAAAGAAGAAAAAAAGTGTGTTTAGCCTCTTTGTATATCTATCTTTAACACATATTTTTTCTTTATAAATAGGTTTATTTTTTCTGCAATTAATATACATAAGTTATCTACATTGAGTCCAAAATGATATTGTTTTGAGGTGAAAATTAAAATATTTTTATAATTATAATTTATTTCAAAGTTATAATTATCGTTCTTATTTTAATTTTTAATCTTTCAACCCAAAACAACGTCATTTTAAGAGTGAATGTAGATAACTTATCTAAATTCTCTTATAAAAATATTAAAGCCTTTATAAATATAGGAAAAAACAATTTATATTTAATGTCAATATTAGTAATTTACTTGAAACATGAAAGGTAAAAATACGGAAATTGTTTATTTTATTATCATCTTGTGCAACGTGGACAAACCCTGGTTAGACAGGCCACACCTATCATTCCCCTCGTTGCATGTGTGTCTAGTGTCTACTGTCGACCACAACCTCGACCTTGGTTAGACAGACCCCAACCTCGTCCATTCATAAAATCGAGTACTGGGACCTATTTCTTTAAACTGGACAAACCATGAATCAATACTGCCAAAAACTTTGGAAGGAAATCCAGTAGAGTCCTTTAAAACATTCGTCTTCATGCATTACAAATAATACAATTGCTAAAAAGTGTTCAGGATATACCGCATTGCCTGTTAAAACAGAAAAAGAGTTTTAATTCTGCAATAAAAACCCCATGCATCCTTTCGATTTTGACTTTCAACTTTTAATCCCTCCTCGCTCAACCGATTTTGGATATTAATGCCAGTTTCCTTTGGGGAAGATTCGCCAAAATTGGGGGGGTGCGATAGGTGATTGAGTAATAAAAACAGATAAATCATAATTGTTTCAAAGAAGCATCCAAATGTACTCTAGATTTTGCCTTTGAAAAATGTTCTGATTTAGTCCTGATTTTCATAGCAGTCTGATTAAGGGATCTTATCCAAATGCCCACGAGTGATCAACAGCAAACATCGGATTACACCAGCAAAATAAAGTCCAATTTTCTTTGTACTACCTCTAAAGTAAGGAGTACAGACATTGATACAAGATATTTGTTTATTTGATTTGGACGACAATTGAAAGCTAAAGTTGTAGGATTTTTTTTCATTTAACTATCTCTTGTCATTTAGTGGCCTTTCCTTTTCGGCTGCTACTAGTGCCAGTTTCCAACAGGTAACAAACCATAGAATCGACGTCATCCCCAAATATGCTGTAAGCCTCAACCGCTTGTAGGTAACTAAATCCCATTGATAGTAACATGCGCATACTGCTGCTAAGATGAGAATCATTCTCTTTTCCGGGTACCATCTTGGGCTCACTGCCGGATGATCCTGCAACTCGCATTAACACATAGTTAGCTTATGTGTTCCAAATTTCAAATGAATCAAGTATACACCTACATATGGTATATCGCTAAATTTAAGAAACAGAGATAGAACAAAAGGGATGAACTTGGGTAAAAAAAATGCAGGAGATTTTCCAAGGTTGCTCTAGTTTTGTAAAGAATCATTTCGACCCAAAATCTTAAAATGTTGTGTGAAGATCTCTTTAATGATTATATTATTCTATAATAACCCCCTCACGCAAGAGTTCTTTGGACTTAAAGCGTGGATATTACACAGGTCTAATTTTTTTGGTTTATCTTATACTTATTTTAATTCCACTAAATAGTAGAAGGCGGTAAGGATCGAACTCGTGACATTGTAGTCCTCGAAGCTCTGATATCATAAAAAAAACCATTTTCACCCAAAACCATTGTAGGCCTCTTTAATGATTTATATTATTATCTAAGAAATTTTATTGGATTTCAAAGTTTCAGGTCTTAACGCTGTTCCAACCTAGAGAACTAACACACTTCTTTGAAGCAAATAGACCAAACTTTATGAGAGGAGACACTCACTTGCTCCAGAAGAAGATGGCTCAGCATTTGATGTAGACGACTCTCTATAGCCAAGTTGTTGCTTAAATGTACCATCAGCAAGATATTCAGCCCGAGAAGCTTCCATCACCGCACGTTCAATTTCCTTTTCTGTGAGCTCAAGATCAGAGTAAAACCGTCCCTCAGCCAAAAGTGCCTGTAAAAAGAAATAAATTGAAAATATTCATATCATCAGCATCAATTTAAAAAATAAAAAATAAAAAATAAAAATCATGTTCACTGTGTTACAATTTGAAATACTTACATTATCGATCTGTTGGTCTTGCTGAGCTTTAATAGCAGCCTTGATTTGATCTTTGTCAACATTCGTCTGCATTATAAATAAAAAACGTGCCATCAATCACTATCCAACCATTTAATCAATGTAATGATCAGTCGGTCTTCAAGTTACAGGGCCTCTTAGTTGGGCCTCCTGAGATCATTGAGGTTTCAGATAAATATTTAAAGCAGAATTCAATATGACTCTTACGTTTTCTCAGTTGGAAGATAAACTAAATTATTGACATTAGATCATAATACAAAATCAAAAAAAGAAAAGATAAAAAGAAAATAGAGTAAGAGCAACTTATATGATGATGGCAGAGTACTCACCCCACTAAGAGAGCTGAACCCAAGACCTGCACCAATTGTTGAGCGCCGCGGATCAACAAGGGAGTTGTAATGATTCCCCTGATGATAACTTAGTCTTACCGGTGGGTTGTCAGTGTTATAGCTTCCGTGAAATGTATTGATAGGTTCTGCAACAAAAATTGATGTTATTAATTAGTAAATAACTCACTAAGAACAATTACAACTACTAAAAATTTGGACAGAAGCTGTACCAGTAGTGTAGGAGTATATATGAATTGGGCGATTATACATTTCAGACATGGCTTGGATCTCAACATTGTTACCATAGACCTGCCAACCAAGGTGGAACACATTTATGCCTAAAGCAGAAAGTTAAAGTACCTATCTACACATTCGAACCAACTAAAACTGCAAATTGTATTAAAAAGGAATACCTTACCAAGCACACACACAACCAAACAAATTTCTAAATTTCTCCAACAGAAATTACTACTAATTAAGAGTGAGTAAAATTAACAGCTACTACAGCTAAATTGAACACCAAGGGCCCATGCCTAGATCCCCACCGCTTCAATTGACTAGTTGATCACAGCAAGAACAAAGAATTCCCTTAATCATAAGAATGATGATATTGTCTGCAAAAGGCCTAGCTATATTATAGCTCTTGATGGCCAATTCCTCATAGGACCAAACTTATTGACAATTATGAAAGAATTTGAAAGCCAAAAGTAAAACGAGATTGCTAGAACATCTTAGAGAGTAAAGCAATAAAGTTTGGCACAATCTACCAGAACAGAAAAAATCATATCTCAACAAAAGTGAAAGTGAAGAAAGAAAATCATAACCAAATCACGAATGACAATATAGATAGCTAGTCAAAAGCAGGCCTAGTCCTGCACAAATCTAATCGGTATTACGTATCAAGTACTAAAAAAATGAAAATGCGGATATTGTCGAATGGTAAAATTTCTCCTTGCCAAGGAGTAGACCCGGGTTCGATTCCCGCTATCCGCCTACTCCCTTAAATTTCTGTATTTAATTCTAAAAGTATCAAAAATTGTATAATGTTGACGGTGATAGTATAGTTATACTATAGGGAGAAGTTAACAACCATAACCCACATCTAGATTAATTGGCATGTTGAAGCCTATAAGCATTGTTGAGATATATAGTCCCACATTGGTTGTATGTGCAACTAATGTGGAGTTTATAAGGCCTTGGACACTCCCACTCTTTGAGCTAGCTTTTGGGGTGGTGACCTCAAGGTTCTTATACACAACACAATACAATACAATACATTCATCCTTTTCAAGTTGGTATCAGAGTCTCGCCGCCCCCCACTTTCTCTTGTGGCATTTCCTAGCACAGATAGGCTGGGCCTGTTACATTTTCCACTCTTCAAGCCCAATGGGCTCTCGTGTGAAGGGGCGTGTTGAGATATATAGTCCCACATTGGTTGTATGTGCAACTAATGTGGAGTTTATAAGGCCTTGGACACTCCCACTCTTTGAGCTAGCTTTTGGGGTGGTGACCTCAAGGTTCTTAACAAGCATTTTCAACTATCCATTGCATTAATCATACCCCCAACTACAAAAGTACAGCTTTGAAAATATTTGTGAAATTCCACCTTAAACTGTTCTAGAAGTCATTTGCAAAATAAAACAACCAAGAAGAAAAACTTGGCCAGTTTGTTTTGGAAGCAATGTTCTACACAATCTACTGAGAAATTAAAAGGAAAAGTAAGAAAACAATCATATTCAAACACAAGCTAAAAGCCCAACAATTGTTGCAGTTGGTTTATGCCATGAAATCCTTTAAAAAAAAAAACTGCCAAACTATAATGTGACATACCTTATCTCTTCTCTTCCTCTTACAGTATGATGTGAAACCTTCCGTTATATATTGAGAGAAGTGATCTCTCTCCCTCTCCTGAAGATATAAAACTAGTAATACTTATTCCGATGTTCAATAATAATGCAATCAATGTATGTGAGCAAGAAACATCCAGGAAGTGGCATTCATATAGCTAAAGTTACACTAAAAACATGGAAGATAATAGAATCATACCATGAAAGGAAGCTAAATTCTGATAGGGATACCACCCCTAAAACCACCTCTAAAGGTATATTCTAGAAGAAGCTGAGTCAGCAAGGCATTTAAAAGCAAATATGAGTGGAAGGCAATTCTGTTAGTGTCACACACACACACACACGTGAGAAGCAACACTGGAATAAAGGGAAAGAATTAGTATAAATAGGGAATAGTAGGAGGAGGGAAGTATCTTTTGGGACTTTGGACTTTTGGGCACCTCTTGGGTGATTTGGGAGAAACTAGAGCCTCTCGAATGCTCTAGAACTATCACTGTTATTTTCTAGTTCCTTTACTGTAATTGTCTCTTCATTTGTGTTACTGCAATTGAGTAGGAATACATGTTCTCTGTAATTGTCATCGCTGCTGAGCATTGTAATGTTGATTCTGTTAATATTCTGAGTTGTTTCTTTATTTGTGTTGTAGATCTCTATCAGATTCACAGACTATTTAACAGAATACGAGAAAACTAACAAATTTTAATTAAAAGCAAAACCAGAAAAAACCGTGCAACTAAAATAGAAGTGAGAAAATATGATGAATACAATAAAGTAAGGGAGTTCAACCGAAATAAGCAAATCTGCATGTGAGCCACTATTACAAAAATAATATTAATTATAATAATAATAATAGGACTACCCTCCATTTTCTGGCTCAGGTTTAATCTTCCTTCTACTAGAGTAAAAATACTCTAGAGTTTAGGATATCCCCTTCTCATTTTCTCCAACATTTTTCATCTTTCAATTTACCACATTACTTTTGATAACAATATTGAAGTCCTACAAATTCTTTTCTTGCTTTCTTATATTTTAGAAGATAAAAGTGCCCATCTCCTCTACCCATTTTCAACACCCAAAAATTTCTATGCTTTTACCCCAGAAAATCGTAACTCTAGCAAGTGAAATCATTAACTTTCCTACTGCCCAGGCATTCCAGAACGCACATACTTAAATCTAGACACAAAAAAAACCTTCTGCAACCCATGATTAATCCCTAAACCTTAAAACAAGTCTTCTTAAATCCCTTACTGTAATTGTAAAAATACAGTTTTAAAACCCTAGGAACACGGTGGTAGCATTCCTTCAAGTAATTGATTGAAAACAACAAATATTGAAGAGAATTCAAGACCTTTAAGGTCAATACTTTTTCTCAAAAGTCCATCGAAACCCACAGCCCTTAACTCAGCATCTCATAAAATTAATAAACAGTTAACCTAATGAAAAGTACATTTTCAATTATGATAAATTGAAGCAGTGATATAGTACGGATATTTTGGGGAAAAATACATATATAGTACAGCATTGTCATACCATATAATCTATGCACATCTGTCTGACCAAATCATACAATTCAGAGTCCCCATACACCTGGTCTGCAATGGCACGGAAAAGGCAATTTCCATCCTCCATCATTCCTTTTACTTCATAGCCTTTTGCCCTTCTGATGTCATTTTCAAACTGCCGCTCTCTTTCCTACATAGATGTCAATATCATTTCAATATATGATGATTATCTTAGTGAAGGCCTTGAAGCAACAAAATTGCATTATCAAGGTGGAGAAATAACCTTCAAATATATACTTTTAACTAATATATGAATATGCAATAATACATTGCAACATCTTCAAGGCATCAAGATACAATCATACAATCCAACATAGACTTTTCAATAAAATAAACCAAACGGTACAGATCTTTGATAATTAGGCCGTAATGATGCAAGTGAATCTGTGCAATAACTGAAAAGAAATGATAAAGGAATAATTCTAAATACAGAAGCATAGTCCAAAAGTGTTGGACAATTTAGAAATCTTAAATATTATAGCATGAGGGTATAGAGTTAGACTAAATCACCCACCTTATTCCTAACAATTCTATTCTTAGAATCAACCCAAAGATAATAAGAATCACGCACCAGGATTTTTCTAGCAATATTATTTTATCTAATTACCCACTTTCCCAACTCAGGCTAAAGAATTGGGAAATGAAGTTCAACAAAACAGACAATAATCATCAACTTACTAAATCATCATACGAGGACACCAAGCATGGATTCTGTTCGTCAGCACTATTATAACCCTCATTTTCATTATGAGCCCTGGGAGATGAAGGCCGAGACCCAGCAGGTGAAGTCCTAGCTGAAACAACAGGCCACGCAGATGCTCTCCTAGGTGATCCTACATAGACAGCATTTGAAGCCCCCGACACATTTCCCCTTGAATTTAAGGTAATTGCAGAAGGCTTTGGGGGTGGAACAGGGGGAGGTGGAGGATGTGAACTGCAAGTGCCGCTAGCATTGATTGAAGAATCCCCACATGAGCCCTCATTCTCTGATGAAGGTCTTTCTCCACTCAACCCTTTCACCAATTCTTGGTGACCCTCAACCTCCTCTTTAACATCTTTCCCAGCATCAGCCACTACTTCATCACCCGAGGCGGTGTCATTCTGCTCAAGAAGACTTTCCATCAAAGATTCATCACTTTTTCCCTTATCACAGTCGCTAGTTCCAACATACTCCAAAAGATCATCCCTAACAACGTGTCCAGGTATCTCCTCTCCACTTTCCTCATCTTTGGCAACTGAAGGAACCGGAGACCCAGTAGCCTGCGACTCCGGCCGAGCCGACGAAGAACCGGACCGGTTTGGGTTCGGAGAAGAACCACCTGAAGAACCACGCTGAACCAAGATGCGAGTCATCGTAAATCCTTAAGCAACCAGAGCTCCCAAATCAGAGACCTAACGGTTTATCGCGTGTTCTTGCCTTGGGCACAGTGATGCCAATGCCTTTGCTGAACGATTTCTTCGGGTCCTCGCAAAACGATCTCTGCATTCCCCTATTAATTCTCATCAGACCTAGACCTTCAACTTTAAACAACAAAACCTTCTTTCAGAAATCGAATTTACCTTCGATGCACCTTCGGGAGCATAACCTGCACCCCAAACACCACCATAAAGATTTTGCCACAAAAATCAAAATAAATGCAGATTTCTTTTTTCTGACAAGTAAAAGCATTTAATAGGAAAGGGGGACCCCAAGAATAATCAATTTCAATTAACCACCGATCAAGAAGAGAGAAGAAGAAGAAAAAAAAAATAGAACACAAAATTCTAATCGTAAATATTTAACCGGAGAGAGAGAAAGAAATGGAAGATGAACTTGAACCTGAGAGAATCGCGGAAGAGGATTGGAAGATGAGTGAAAATTAGGGTTTTGTTTTTTGGAATCAACGAAAAGAGAGAAAACTGAGAGAGAAAAGTTGGAATGTTGAGAGAGGAAGTTGCTTGCATTTTAACGGTGAGTGGCACGTGACCTGGAGTTGGTGGCACGTGCCACCTTTGTCAATGGGTTTAATGGTTGACACTTTTTTTTTTTTTTTTTGTGTCTGAACCTTTTAGAAATGAAGATAATATGAAACAGGAGTTTATATTTGTCATTTAACATGACACGTTAAATTTTTTTACACACAATATTTTATAGGACTCACACTTTTTGTAGAAGAAAAAGAAAAACAGCACGCAAAATAAATCTCTATAACATTACACAATCACCTTTCCTATAATATAACTCTTATAAGACGCTATAAAATAACATGCCAAACTGTTTGATTATTCTTCTTCTTTCACACGTGTTGCTTTTATAAATAACATAATATAAAGAGGAAAACGTTAAGAAATGACAACATTGAAACGCATTCGTAACAATGTGGAAATAAACGGACATATTCTTTTCTTGTTTTCTTGGTTTAATTTTAACCTATGATTAGCAATATAACCTTTGGGGATGTAAACCCAAAATGAAAGATTTCTTTTTTGCGAGAAATGAGTTTAATATTGGACTATATTACTATCAAAAAACAAAAGAATTTCTTTTGTATTTTATGATAACTTTGTGCTTAAGCAATTTTATGGATGTATCTCTGGTATCAACTCAATACTTGTAGACGAATTATTTAATTCAAGCTCAAAGATATAAAGCACAGCACTGTAATCGCTGAGGCAATATTTTAGTGAAGCTAATAAATTTATAAATATAGAAAAACACAATAATAAAACAGTTTGGCAGATGTTAGTGACTTGCTAACAAATAGCCATCCAATTTGCATCTTGACTCCCATTATGAGCTAAATACGCAATGGCTCCAGCAGATGAGGCTAGTCCTGTCATTCACTCGAAAGACTCTAGTTCAGTGACTAATTCAAATTTTTTATTTTAAAAAAAATCATAAATCCAATTTCATTTAAACAAAATTCACAATTACCATTTTAATAAAAAAATAATATATATATATATATATGTGTGTGTGAGAGAGATGTTATACTTTTGACCTATTATAATTATTTTTGTTGTCATTGAATCAAAATCAAATGGTTAAGCAACCTAATACTAGGTAGGATAATTCTTTTTAGTTAATTCTATTATGTTGTAAATAAAATTATAATAAGGTTAGCTTAGATTAGGATAGTTATCTCTTTTCACCAGTAGCTTTGTTTATCTAGTTTTTAATTTGTTATCCTCTAACATTGTTAATTTAGGATTGTGTTATATAAATTCTAATCAAATAAAACAATCAAGTTTATTTGGTCTCATGTCTCTTCTCTCGTATCTTTCCCCAGCTGTTCTTCTCCCTCTCTAAACCTTCTCCTTCATTGGTGCGTTCATTGCTTCTCACCTCTTACGGCCAACAACATTCGTTTTTGCGACCTTAACCAGCAGGTGAAAATTCTGGAACAATAGCTCCAAGTAGGAGATGGTTTGTGAACAACAATATTTAGGGATTCAAGCATCATAAACTCAACTCCAAGAATCTCAAAATCAATAATTATGCATACTAGGACAGGATATAGCCCGCATTCTAAAACTCCATCAAGATTCTCCAAGCCATAATACATCCAATGCAAGGATTCTAGGCACTGGACCTACACGTTCGGGATCATCCACTGCAGACCCACAATGTTCGCACTAATTGAAAGTCTCTTTGAACACTTTTTGAATGGCGAACCAACAAATTGAATATTCAATGCCAATCAGTATTTTGATTATTACCAAGCACCCGAAGAAGAACACATTTTGCTCGCATCTTTCAATCTTGATAAACTGACATCATGTTGGTTTCAAGGTCTCTTCCATGACTAGCTCTTTCCGAATTGGTTAGCCTTTGTTTCTGCATTACACCACCATTTTGGTCCCTTAGAATTTGATTACCCAATGGTATCCTTATCTGACTTACAACAATCACGGTCTGTTCATGAATTGCATGCCGCATTTAAAGAGATTTCTAGTTATGTATTGGGTCCTTCACCCAAACTTCATCGCAATTTATTTATCTCCAATCTCAAACTCCACATTTGGCAAACAATCTTAATTTAGCAACCCCATGACATTCACATCGCCTTCTAATTAGCGAAGGTCTATGAGGACCAATTTGCAGACACCCAATCCACTACCAAATCCCATTATATACCGTGGATCCCAAACACACTACTATATCTACCATCTCCTTAAGCAAAACCGCTCCATTACCCTTACCACCACCTAAACAAACTCAACCCAATCCAATCGTTCCCATCAAACGACTATCACCGGCTGAAATTCATGTCCACCATGAAAAAGGCATCTCTTATAAATGTGATGAACATTATGTTTGCAGTCACAAGTGTAAAAGGAAAGCAACCTTGCTCTGCTTGAAAGGTACAAAAGATGATGTCGCATATGATGAAACATATCAACATCCCACTAATTTGATTGTGGATACTTTTTTTTTAAGTTTGCTTAAATGCAATGTTTGACCATTACTCGGCTTGGTCATTCTGTTTACAGGGTTTCATATATGGAAAGTTGATTCAAGTGTTAAGAGGCTGACATTGTGCTTGGTGTACAATGGTTGGCTACCTTAGGGCCTATTTTAACCGTTATGCTTAATTCATAATGTCCTTTACTTACATTGGAATAGACATACAACTATGGGATGATATCCCAGCCATTCCTTCAACGATTTCTCCTACCAATTACATAAGCTTATTTCAGGGGAATCAATTGTTTCTTGTTTAATGTGCTTTGCCAATAATTACAATCCTACCAATCCCTTGGACACCAAAATCAACATTTTACCACACACTATAATTTTGATATTCAACACATTTTTCTTCAATACCAAGACATATTCACCAACCCAACTTCCTTACCCTCTAAATGCACCTATGGTCATCATATTAACCCACAACCAAATTCTAGACCAAGTCAAGTTTGACCATATCGCTACACACACTTTCAGAAAAATGAAATTGAGAAACTTTGTAAGGAAATGTTAACAGTTGGGATTATTTATTCTAGTCACTCACCATTTAGCTCTCTGGTTCTGTTGGTCAAGAAAAATAATGGTATTTGGTGCTTCTGTGTCGATTACCGTGCCTTGAACTTTATTACTGTCCATGAAATTTTTTTGATCCGTATTGTGGATGAATTCTTGAATAAACTGCATGGCTCTATTGTCTTATATAAATTGGACTTCGGATTAGGCCATTATTTGATACAAATGCACCCAAAGGATGTTCACAAAATGACATTCCAGACATATCATGGTCATTTTAAATTTCTAGTAATGCTCTTTGGTTTGTTTGATACACCATCATCTTTTCAAGCAATCACGAATGACGTCTTTGTAACCTTTCTGCATCGCTTTGTGGTGATTTTTTATATGATATACTTGTTTTTAGTCCTTCTTTGTCTATTCATTTGCAACACTTGGAACATGTATTGGCTACTTTACACAAGGGTTGTTTGTATGCCAAGTTCGCCAAATATTCCTTTGCCATCAATTAATCCACTTCTTAGGGTACATTCTATTAGCACACAGTGTTTCGCTAGATCCTAAAAAGGTTTGGAAGTCTTTGATTGGCTCACGCCTACTCAGGTTTACACCTTTCTTGGCTTATTGTGCTACCATTAATTTATTCATCAATATGCCAAGATTGCGTCTCCACTTACTGATTTATTGACTGATAATTGATTTAACGGGTCCCTGAAAGCTAATCGGGATATTATCCTACTTAAGTAGAAAATTGTAGAGACTATAATTCTGATCTTACCAGATTTTACCAAACAATTTGAAATTGAAGCATATTCTTCTAATATATGTAATGGTGATGTGCTGTTACAAGGAGGTCGGGCTATTGCCTATTATAGTTGCAAGTTATCCTCATGCATGTAACACCAATTTACATATATCAAGTAAATATATGTTGTTACCTCAGCAGTGACCAAGTGGAGGCAATATCTCTTCGGATCCAGTTTCGTTAGAGGAACATATCACAAGAGTTTACACAATGTGATGACTCATGTCATTCAGACGCCGGAATAATAGTAATTCCTAGTTGAGCTTTTGGGTTATCATTATACTATTGAATTTAAATATTGACTGAGTTATCTCTAGACTTCATCTCTCACCTCTCACATTTGTGGTTGTTACAATCGCTTTCATCTCCAACTTAAATATAGGCTATGTTGTCTCTAGATTTCATCTTTCATCTTACAAACTCCCACAGCTATTCTGTCATTTTGGTGGTTGTTGATTGCTTGACAAAAGGCGCCCATTTATTCCTCTGCGAGCATGTTATATAACAATAATAGTGGTTCAAGCCTTTTAGACAGTTTTGGTAAAATACATGGTCCCCCAAAGTCCTTGGTCTTAGATAGGAACCCTATTTTTCTGAGCACCTTCTAGAAAGCTTAATTCTGCATATAAGGCACCATGTTTTGCTTCAGTTCTTTCCTATCATCCTTAGTTCAATGGTCAAATGGAAAGAGGAAACATAATGTTAAAACAATACTTACATGCATATGTGTCGGAACACCAAGAGTTATGGGTCAAGTTTTTACTTCTCCCAAAGTTTCATTATAACACAATTTTCCATAAGAGTATTGGTACTTAACCATATAAGGAAACTTTTGGCAAACCACCACGTTGTCTTCTCTATTACTCCATGGGCTCCTCCCTAGTCAAATTTGTCAACTCTACAATAAGCCAAAATGCCTCCATTTTGACAAACCTTTGTGAGAACCTCAAAAGGGCACGACTAGCAATGGAAAAAAGAAGTGGATAAAAGCAAAATGATTGCACCTTTATCAAAAGTGACCAAGTTCTCACAAGACTACACTTGTATTGCCAATCATTAATATACCAACAGTCATCTTAGAAGTTGGCTCCTCGATTTTTCAATCCATACATGAACCTTGTGAAGGTTAGAATTAT